CGACAGTGCACGTTGTATAACGTACAACTTGTCAACTTGCACAAATTTTTTTTTTAATGTATCCGTTGGCTGTAAAATAAAATGTTTCCAGAGCGCAAAGAGCGCATTGTGTGGATTAGGCTTTAAAACGCGTCACTCATTTCGCTCACGTGTGTTTTCTTTCTCCCCCCGCGCGCTAAAAACATAATCGCCTCACGCATTCACCTACCCGGAACAATCGTGCGTCGCGCGCATTGACTGGCGACAATAACGGAATCAATAGCGCATCACGTTTCGATAAATTAATGCCACGCGTTTTATTTCCGCCGCCCCGCGCTCCACCCCTCCCCCCCCCACCGCCCGTGTCGTCCCCGCCACCCCCGCCCGCCGCTGTATTAAAACAACGCGCGGTTGTTGCAGCGTATTTACAGCGAAACGCCAGTTTCCGAGTAATTCTTCCTAATTGCCGGGGCGGCGCAGCCCGGGATTAAAATGCACGGCGCGCGGTGGAAATAGTTAATGCCACACTCGCGAGAATAAAAAGTCTCCCGCGCATGTATCGTCTTCCCCTCCTCCCCTTTTCTTCTCGACGGAGAACAATTCGTGGCGCTAAAGAAAAAAAAAGCGCCGCGCGGTGTATAATAAAGTTGTATCGAGCGAAAGGGAGAATAACTCGATAAAGAGACTTGAGGGAGGAGAGGGGGGGAAACTTTAAAGAGAGTACAAGGTTTTAACTGCGGGCTCGCCCCCTTTCTTTTTTTTCTTTCTCAAGCCGCGGCGCAAATTCCGATATTTACATCGAGCACGTGCACCGCGCGCGCGTATTACTTCCCGATAATTATTACATTTAATTATGAAGTTTACGCCGACGCGCGAAATATATTGTACCAAGTCAAAAACAATGGAACTAAGAGGGGAGCGCACCCTCGTCACCGTGAATTAAAGTAAAAGGGCAAATGGTGCAGTGGGACGCACGCGGTATTAAAGAGGCCGTGGTGTCGGAGGGGGAATGATTAATCGTCGAGCAATCTCTCCTATGCGTTCGCAAGGAAAAAAAGAAGGAAAAAAGAGAAGGAGAGAGAGAGAAAAAGAGAGAGAGAGAAGACATACGTGGGCAAACACAACTAACGATATGACATGTTTACGAAATGTATCGCACGATCTTGATCTACGGCGTTCACCTCTTGACTAATATCACACTTATTATGTATAAATTCCGTAAACGGGTGTCCGGTGAAAGAAGTTGCGCAACGTCTTACCGACGGGGACAGTCGAGGGATAAACCGCTGACCAGAATCATGTACACCAACTAATGCCCAGTGGGCATTACTTTATCTTATTATGTTATTTTATCTTACACTGATAAAAAAATATCTTCATAAAAAAAATAGTACTTTACTCAAGAAAATTATTTATTCCGTGGCCCCTAATAGCTTATTAACGTAAATTTAAAAAATAATAAACAAATTAAAGCATGCATTGATTTAATATAAGTATTTATTAAATATCGAAGAACAGATAATTTTCAAATTGAAACCTTTTTATTTTAATTCTATAAAATGTTTACTAAGATGTAATTTTCACAACGAAGAAAATTGGATTTCTTTTTTATCGAAAACAACTATTTCATTTAATAAATTGTAATCTATATCCCATGAAATCTTTATTTGAATGTAGAAAATGTAACGATTTGAATTAATTTACTCAATATAGAACATAGATTTACTTGAAATTTGACATTTTTATTTAAATGGAATAAATATTTGCTTCAGTAAAAAAATAATTGTAAGTAAATCTATTTGCTTAGTTAAAAAAATTTTTTTGTCAGTGTACATGTAACATTTTAATTAATTAGAAATCGTTTATCGATTTTAATATGTGAATTCACTGACGACAATGATTCCATCTAAATGAAACTGTATTATGTCCGAAAGAACAAGGTGGAAAACTGTATACGAATTCACATTTTAGATTACAATTGTTGTGGCTACCAACATCTTGCTCGGACCTAAAGGCGCTCTCGCTTGTTTGATTTATTTTATCTTATTTTACCTTTACAATGCCCCAGCAAGGCCTAATGCCGAAAGTAATGCCCAAAAAGTGCCCGGTAATGCCCAGTAATGCCGCAGATTTGTACTCCACAATTGTCCTCGGAGAAAATGTCTTGGATACGTAATCCGAAGCAGCAAAAAATTCCTTTCTCCGTTCATAACGGAGTCTGCTTTACTTCACTGTAGTGCCGCGATTAAAATGACGAAAAAAATTATATGAATTTGTTAATCGTACGGTTAAAATTACGTTTAATATCCTTGGAATTTGATTTTCAGAGTCTCGAGTTCCGAGAGCCGTTTCCCGAGAGACTCGCTTCCCGAGACTGTACTCTAAATTATTTGCACGGAGAATTAAAAATGTAGCAAGCGTGGGTTATACATGTAAAGTCTGACAGGGAGAGATCAATCCATTTGAGAATAGATCCTTGCGGAATCTCTTCTCTTCTGAAATATCCCGCGTGCAAGAGAGCGGATTCGAGGTGTATCATCGATTTAATGTACTCCCTCGATACGTCGGATTCAACTTTCTAAATAAGAGACACCTTTGCGTATCGCGATACTAAACATCTTCCGCAAATCCAGTGATATATTCGCTCTCGCGCTATCCGAATATTGCACAAGCCTCTGTCTTTAGGAGCCGCGTCGGGTCCTAAGACAGAAGTGACAGCGTGCGACGAATAGGATTCGCGCGAGGTAATTTTAACAAAATAAAAAAAAATGACCCGTGTAGAGCCTCTCGTCGTGTACGTTCCTTATAAACACAGCATCGGCCAGGTATGTTATGTATGTACACTAGGAATCGCTGATGCTTTCCCCACGTTTGCATAAACATACATGGAAAATGTACACGTGCTCTACATGTGCCTAAGTTCACGTGGGAAGGCATCAGTGATTTCCAGTGTACGTATCGTGATTCTACCTTAAACTAATATCCATTTTGATAGAGCAAGTTTGCGAGCAACGGAAGAGTATACCTGTCCACAATGCTAGAGCTTGGTCCAGGTTCTAGCTTCGAGAAATGTGTAGCCAATTAACTTGCAGCTTTTATGGAATAGCTGCGAGAGTTGATTGGCTACACATTTCTCGAAACTAGAATCTGGACCGAGCATCGTGGACACGGGTCTTAATAACTTAATGTGTTGTATGGCACTCTCTAAAATTTGTGGAGTGAAAATACTGCCATGGAGTGAAATGTTCATCCTATTGGCGTGAATATTTCCTCCAACAGAGTGAATATTAATTCCAATGGAGTAAACATTTCACTCCATGGCAGTATTTTCACTCCACAAATTTTAGAGAGCACGGTTCTACCTTAAAATAATGTCCACTTTGATAGAGTAAGCTTGAGAGCAACGGAAGTATGTACCTATCTGAGCAAAGGTCTGTGTCCACGGTGCTAGAGCTCGGTCCAATTAACTCTTGCAGCTATTCCATACAAGCTGCAAGCTAATTGGCTACACATTTCTCGAAACTAGAACTTGCACCAAGTTCTAGCATTGAGGGTACAGGCTTTAATAATTTTATGTGTTGTATCGCACGGTTCTGCCTTAAAATAATGCCCACTTTGATAGAGCAAGCCTGAGAGCAACGTGACAGACGGACGTATCCATCTGTAGGTTTAATATAAATACGCCGAGGCATAAAATACACCGGCCCGTATTCCGAGCTCTCTTTCATCAATGAAAGCGCCTCTAAAAGTGGCTAATAAGCCTTCCGATTGGCTATAAGCCACTTGTAGAGGCGCTTTCGTCGATAAATGAGGATTCGGAAAATGGGCATTTGTGCTTTCGCAGTGGAAGGCGATACGAACGAGGTTGAGAACAAAAGTAAAAGAACGTCGGGAATGTTTAGCTACCTCCCTCGTGCCCTCGGATTAACGAGAGGTCTCTAATGGCCGATTTTTTTCACTTCCCGATAAAATTATCCGGAGGTTAATCTCAAGTTTTAGCCAATCACGTGCATGGATCTGGTAGTTTATCTCCTGGTTAACTTTAACCGCAACATAACTGGATGTGAAGAAATCGGGCATAAATCGCGCGGCGCGATTCACGGTTCGAGAGGTTACGGAACGTTCGACGTGCGCGGGGCCATCGAGCGCGCAATTCCCGCGTGTTTTATGGACGCGCGAGGGAAGAGGAGCTCACGCCGCTCGAGGCTCCGGCACGTATAACCCAATCAACGTTGTCCCAACGCGGGAGTCTTGTTCCGCGCGAAGTGCGAACGTCGCCCGGAGCGAGAAGGTTACGCGCCGCGACGCCTCAATATGTCTAATCAGCGCTGACAAACGCGAAGGCGTCCGTCCGAGGGGGTGGGACGGGATCACGTCGCGCGAGGCGACGTCTCAATGACGCGCAATCAACGGCCCGGGAATGCGGCGTCTCCACGTTTACCGAAAGCCCAACGTGTCCGATCAACCGGTCACACGGGCCCGGCGTCGCGCCGCGCGCACCGTCTCCGGGATCCGAAATTATCTTATCGGCGCTTAACACGTGTTAGCGCGGCGCGTCTATAAATACCGGGGGAAAAGATCGCGTCACGTGTGGAACACGCATCAACATCGGCGAGCGCGGGGGGGAGTCGCGGGAATCGCCGCGCCGCTCCACGTATCTACACGGCCGTACGAGGAGGAAAGAAAGAGGTCGCGTATCGCGCGCACCAGGGCCTTCGATAACGTTTGATACGGACGCGTACGGCGGATTCACGCAGGCGGGGGGGGAGGAGGCCGTCGATCAACGCGGAACACGCGCGAGCGCCGCCCCGTGCATCCATAAATACGCGAAGACGTGCGAGCGTCGCGTCGCGTCGCGTCGTCTCGACGCACGCAGCTGCCCGGCGTGAACGGCGGCTACGCGCTCGGGTGCACGAGGGAAGAGAGAGAGGTTACGCCAGCCCCCCGGGTCGCCGCGACGGAGGGTCGTCGGCGACGCCGAGACGGGGCGGCGCGCGGCGCTGCTGGATGTAACTACTCACCGTGTGGCTACCATAGGGCCTAGGAAGGGTGGTATTGCTGCCGGAGGTAGGGGTAGACACGGGGGTGGCGAGCCGCTGTGCTGTCTCCGTGCGACGAAGACGATGCGTAGACATGAGGCGGCACGGGACGCACCTCGTCGACTATGCCGCTCGTCGTACACACAGGTACCGTGCCGCACGCACCACGTACACGCGCCGTCATCCGGCGACGGTGGTTGCCGGCGGGGGGCGCGAGGAAAAGAGAGAAACCCCGGTGGAGAGCGCTCAAGCCACGAGGGGGACCCGGGTACTCGCGCGACACTCCACTCCACTCCACTCCACTCCACTCCACGCACGCACGCACGGCACCCCGAACGACGGCAGGGGGAGAGGAGGGGGGCGGGGGCGGTTGATAGCTCGTCGCGAGACGCTCCAGGAGGCGCACGACGGCGGCGGCGGCGGCGACGACGGCGGCGACGGCGGTGGCGGTGGCGACGGCGGATTAATATGGCCGTCTCTCGGTTGACACGGAGGCTCGGATCGCGCGTAAGAGCGAGCGGCTGCAACGCTGACGGCGGCGGCGACGGCTGCTCGGCGCGGCTGGCGCGACGGCGAGATGGCACGGTGACGCGGCGGCGACGGCGACGCACTCGCTTGGCGGTAGCCTCGTCGTACCTCGCGTACGACGCGCACGCATTTGTTTCACTCGCGGGGAAATCACCACCACCACGCACCACCACCCACGAACACGATGACTTAGCTGGAGCTCGTTAAGCGCGACGGGACACACTCGACGTATCTCTCTCTCTCTCTCTCCCTCCCTCTTCCGCCCGCTATCACTCGCTCCTTCTCACTCGCGCCGCCTCTCTCCCTCGTCGGATTTTTTCCACGCGCCAGCGGCCCGGCGGCGATTCCTTCCTTCCCACCGATCCTCCTCGGCGAGGCTCCGGTCGCGGCGACACTCTTCTCACCTCTCGCGTAAACGTGCGCCCGACGTTTCCGGGCCCTACGTTGCTCGCTCGCGACGGGCACGTATACGAGTTTCGGAGCACTCTCGTTTATCTCTCTTGCACTCCACGGCCGACTGTCCGTCTCTCTTTTCTCACGTCCCTTTGTCACTCGCTCTCGCCCGCTCGCTCGACCGCCCCGTTTTCCCTGGCGGTGCCGCTAACGGGCGCCGTGATCGGGGGACACCGAGGGTAGAGAAAACACCGTGTGCGATCGCACGAATCTCACGACACTCGACGGGGATCAACGGGCACCACCTTCGCTCTCTCTCGCTCTCGCTCTCTCACCTCCTCTCTCTTTCTCTCACGTCTGTTCGTCGCCCGCGACGATGCTCGGTGCACGACGGCACGGTCCACACGGCGCACGCGGACGGACGTACGCACGCACGCACGGTTATCTTCACGCTGCGCGAGGACGTGACGCGACCTCGATGCGAACGACAACGTCAACATCACCACCGTACGCTTTCGTGGCGGCCATCTTTTTCGGGGATACGGAGTGGCGAGATACGCGAGTCGCCGAACGTGGGACGCACGCGCGTACATGGGTGTAAGTGGCGCGAGGGCGCTGCGCGCGCGCGACCGCGCGCGATTGGCGCGCCTCGTGCGGCTGCCGCGTACAACCGAGAGCGACACGCGCAGGGGCGTGTGCCGAGGCCGCGGGAGCCGGCTTGTTTACATGCGAGCGAAGTTACGTAGACGACGAAAGCGACGCTTTTAAACGCGAATTGTCTTCACGGGGAATATTATTGTCGTCCGAACGGAACCTTCTCTCCCGAAGACTCGACGGAGTGAGAAATTATCCTTTTTCTACCGTATCTACCTCGGGGATCTATTTCGTTGTCGCGCGATAAATTGTTCAAGTGTATACTGATTGGTTGCGAGAAAGTTGTCGAGTTTCTAGAAAATTTCTATTTTTGCAGTCAATCGATATAATTAAAAAAACTTGGTCGTGCGACAAATGAAATATACGTTTATGGAACTATTTCGCTCGGTCGGTAAACTTGTCGAGCGCGCTGATTGGCTGCGAGTTAAGCCCGCTGCAGACGATGCTATTTTTCCTGCTGGATTGCTTGCAATTTAGTAAATTACTAGGAATCCTGAATGCTGAGTGGTGCAATGATAGTAATTTACTAAATCGCAAGCAATCCAGCAGGAAAAATAGCATCGTCTGCAGCGGGCTTTAGAAAAGTTCTCGAGTCTGTAAAAAATTTCTATTTCGTAGTCAATCGAAAGGCTGAAAAAATTTCGTCGTGCGACAAATAAAATATTACGTTTATGGAACTGTTTCACTCGGTCGGTAAACTTTTCGAGCGCGCTGATTGGTTGCGAGGTAGAAAGGTTCTCGAGTCTCTGGAAAATTTCTATTTTGTAGTCAATCGAAAGGCTTAAAAAACTTGGTCGGGCGACAAATAAAATATTACATTTATAGAACTATGGCCGCCGTCAAACTGCCGTTACAAATCCTTCAAAGTATTCTTCTTTTCCTTTCCTTCAACAAAGATACAAGAAGAAGAAACGCTTCGAAGCAATTGGTGCATTCAAAAGCACGACCGCTCACTGAGTGCTCAATGAGCTCTTGTATCCGATTGGCGTATTCTTCTAAATTTAAAAATATACATCAATCGAATACAAGAGCTCACTGAGCGCTCAGTGAGCAATCACGCTTCTGGATGCACCCATTGTAGCTTGACCGCAGCCTATTTCACTCGTCGGACGGTAAGCATTTCGAGCGCGCTGATTGGTCGCGCGTTAGAAAAGTGCTCGAGTCTCTAGAAACATTTTCTACCTCGTAGCCAATCAACACGCTTGAAAAATTTGCCATGCGACAAGTGAAATACCGCCCTCATGTCTTCCACAAAGGTCCATATTCCTCTTTTTCCTCCTGATCCGTTTTTTATCAATAAAAATACCCGTAAAAGATCTTTCCAACGCCAATAAGAATCTTTCAAAAACCAATTCAAGACCTTTAACGATAAAAGAGGATTTAAAATATAGACCAAAGTGTACGAGGAGAAAGGAAAGGAGGAAGGGACTGAGAAAAGACGTAAAGGCAGCTCCGAGATAAAAATTAAATACTTTTAGATAAAAATATCAGAAGTTTGCGATGGCGTTTTAAATACCCCGTTTAAAGAGCATCTCGCGAGAAGCGGGGAAAACCTTTTTTACGGCTATACGTCCGGCGATTTTAAAGTTTGTAATAGCTCGAAATCGTCGTGCGATCCTCGCCGCGTCCCTGACGGGCAAACGTGATACGTATGCGACCGCCGTATGAGCACGCGATACCGGCTGGACTCCATGGAGGGAGGACAAAGTAGTGCGCACAAGCGGTGCTCACGAACAACTCGGCGGCCATCGCAGCTGCTGGCCGTTCCTGACCGAGGGAACGCGCAGAACCGACCGGTCGCCGTTCCGCTCGTTTAGTGAGGGATTGTGGCGCCACGTTCAACTTGGTCTCGGAATTCGGAGAGTTGCCGGCCAATAATATCGCCGGTAATCGGAGCTTACGTCGCCCTGAAGGCTTGCCAACGCTCGAAATTCTCCGCTTACGATCGAGACCGATAAGATTGTCCATTTGTTAGCGATTGGCGAACATGAGTCAAACGTTGATTTGAAAATATTTGATCAATTTGTTACATTAAAAAGGTCTCTTAAATGTTTCATTTGCAAAAAAAGTTGCCATCCCTAAACACCGTATTTTTTAACTTTCGTTATTTGCTCTTCAAGAATTACATTTTAATTAGAGAGTCACGAAATGTAAACTCGTTTACTTGTTCTTTGTAAGATTTAAATATGCTCTAAATTTCACGTGTCATTATTTTTATGTATGGAATGACAATTTTTGCTTCTCCTAAATAACCAATTATTTAAAGTGTATAGACTGAATATAATACATGATAATGTATCTTTAAATACCTTTCCGAAGAGTGACTTGCATATTCGCAATCAAAAAGTCGAGCACAAGCGGAAATAAAGGGGAGTAGAATCAGTCCTTTCGAAAGATAGTTCTATTTCCATTCGATGTTCTATAAAAGTAATCCCAAAAAGGCCTTTTTCATATTTCACTCTTGTGCCTTGTGATAAAAGTAAAAATGTTTGCAATATACGAAACATCGAAAATAGAATCTCCTTGAGGAACAACTTCGTTGTGTTAGAAAAATTTGTAGTACAAACTTGCGTTATAAATTCGCTCTCTTGTATAAATCGAAAAAATATATATGTATAAAGATATCTTTTCTCTTGGTCAACAGACCACATATTCAACTGCCACAAAATAAATGCTTTTGCTGATTACATGTACACTCAACGTACATTAGGCGTTTCAGAGTAAAGCGAGCTGTTTTACTTCCGCTAGATTCAAATCTCGATGTACAAAGCATCAGAAATTTAATTCTACCGAAGTTAGACCAGTTTTATTCGTCGCCCTACTGTGTATCTTAAAGGAGATGGAATGTTTCGTCTGTGTACTTCATCGAGATTTGTGCTTTGAAAAAAAGAAAATATTGTTCGTACATAAACAGCTCCCCGTCGATCTAACCAGCGGATCCACAAGTGCGAGACTAATATTTCACAATTTCCTGCACCGCTGCGACAATGTTACGGGCACTGATGCCGTAGTTGTCGAGCAATACCGCTGGCGGACCGGACCGCGGTACATCCGGCACCGCCAGCTTCTTTACTATTATGTTTTTCTCCAAAGCGACCGCGGACTGGACCGATTCTCCCAAGCCTCCTTGCGCGTAGTGGTCCTCAACGGTGACGATCCTGCCGCCGACCTCTTTGGCGTTCTTTATAATTGTTTGTGCGTCGATGGGTTTGATCGTAAACGGATCGATCACACGGATATTGATCCCGACTTTGGTTAACTCCTCGGCCGCCTTGATTGCCTCGTGCAATGTTACACCGGCGCCGATCACGAGCACCTGATCCTTGGCGGAAGATCTAATCACTTTGGCTTTACCGATAGCCAGCGGTTCGTCGTTCTTGTACAAAACAGCCGTGGCCGGACGAGATGTGCGAATGAAACAGATGCCCTTGGTATTAGCCGCCAGTTCGACGGCGCGCTCCGTTGACACAGCGTCGCTCGGGTAAAAGACGGTAGAACCCGGGATCACGCGGAACATTGCGATGTCCTCTAAGCCCATCTGCGACGGTCCATCCTCGCCGATGGACACGCCGCAATGCGAACCAGCGAAATTCACGTTTGTCTGAGATATCGCGCCCATGCGGATCTGTAGCGCAAGTTAATTGTGCATTCATCCGACTCTCCGTTATTATATCACGCGTCAATTTTTACGAATATAGTTTGCGATTTACCTGATCGAAGGCACGGGTGAAGAACGTCGCGAAAGCGGACACGAACGCGACGGTACGGTCTCTGCAAGCGGCACCAATAGCGACACCCACAACGTTCTGTTCGGCAATAAATCCTTCGATAAACCTAGCCGGATCAACGGCTTTGATCTTCTCGGCGTAAGTGGAATTCTTTGTATCGCCGTCCAGTGCTATGACGCGAGGATTATTCTTCGCCAGCTGAAATGAAACAATTAAAAGATACATTTTGAGGATGCATTTTATTGAGACACAAATGTAAAAAGTATATCAAATGTACAGACCTTTGCAAGAGCCGTGCCATAAGCCAACCTGGTGGCTACTTGTTCGCCTATTTTGTAGTTTGGAGGCGAAGCCAGCGCAACGTTGCTGATGTCGACAACAGGAGTATCATCTACGAGTGGCTTTTGTGGATGCAGTCCAAGAGGACCAGGGTTCTTTAGAAGTCCATTCAAATGCTGCAAAATTATGAAAAATATATTACAAAGATAAAAAAAACTCACAATTCTTATTGTGATTTTTATTTTATATAATCGATATATTGCTTATATATTATGTATGAATATATTGATATTAGTATAACATACCTGAATAATCTCAGCCGCTTTGTTACCCAGAGGTTTGCCGTGCCAGTTTTCTAGATCTTCAATCTCAGGGAAGTTTTTGCCCTTAAAAGTCTTCGCTAGAATGGCAGTGGGACGTCCTTTGGTGTTTTGCGCTTCATGGAAAGCCTAAAGCAACATGAATTCTTGAGCACATGTTCGCTTGGAAAAGCATAATAATGTAATTACTATACCTTCGCCAATTCTTCCACATCGTGGCCATCCACAACCAAGGCATTAAAACCGAAGGCCTCCAATCTTTTGCGGTAAACTTCCATATTGTGCTGCAATGAGGTTGGTTCACTTTGTCCAAGACGATTGATGTCAAAAATAGCACACAGATTATCTAATTTATAGTAGGACGAGAAATGGAGGGCTTCCCAGATGGAACCTTCGGCCGCTTCTCCATCACCAATCAAACAGTAAGTACTGAAAGATAAATAAATGTACGTTATCATAAATTACAAGAGAGAAGAAAGTGAATTTGACTGAAGCGAATTCAATAAATAATTTAAACATCGTACATAAAAAAATTTATTTAGATAAATTTATATACGTGTATGCATATTTAGAAACTATAATTTATTACATATTGATTGGATATTAAATAGCATACCGGTAACTGGCTTTGTCGAAATTCTTCCCAACATAGGCCATGCCCGCAGCAACTGAGAGACCTTGTCCTAATGAACCGGTTCCTACGTCTACAAAGTTGAGCCTCGGGGTAGGATGTCCTTCCAAGTCACTGTCAAATTTTCTCAAATTCAGCAACTCGCTGGACGGAAACAAGCCCGCTTCCGCCCATGCTACAAATCAAATACAAATATTAAGTACAATACAAAATAATTAATTATTCAAAGATATTGGCAAATGTTAAAACAAATTACAACGAGCAATTGACATTATTAAATTTATTATATTACAATGTAATATTAACTGATAACAACTTCACTGATTACACCAATTAATTATAGTTGATAAAATGTATAGAGATTGGCTGGCAGTAAAGTTACCTGCGTAGAGAATCGGAGCCGCGTGGCCTTTACTGAGGACGAATCTATCACTGTTGGGATCACGTGGTGCCGACACTTTGTAACGCATTGTATGGAAGAAGAGAACGGACATAATTTCGGCCATGGACGAACATGATGTCGGATGCCTGGAGCAGAGCGAGAGATAAATCAACATGTAGAATTAAATGAACTCGAATAACTTAACCACAGTTTCAGACAGCGAAAAAAATAGAAAAGATACTTTACAAGCGATAACTCTCATCTCTAAATACTTTCTCGCGAATCGGCGATAATTCCGCGTTCACGTAATCGAACGATATCTGTTTTTCTAACATCATCTGCTGTCGTGGCAGGGTCAGAGTATCGACGGTTTATCATCGGAATGCCCTATCATTGGTCAAATACACGCGACCCCTCTTCCCATGAAGGAGTTAACGTAGCGAATGATAATTGTTACAAAATATATTACAAGCTCTATCGTTAGCCGCTATATATCATTTCATTCAAGTCTAAGAAACAGAAACAAGTAGAGACGAATGCAGTCTTGTAAAGTCTTCGAGTTTCGCTATTTGCTACGCTGAAAAACTGGCTCCAAATTCACCACAGAACCTGCCATAACACCAGTAATTTTGTCAATGCGGCTTAAAGATCGAAGATAACGTTTCCCAGATGAGGAGACGACTCGTAGGCAACTAGTTAATTACAATGTCTCTCGTCATACCCGCTCTTGGATGCCTCGGTCGCGCGCACGCACTCGATGCGCAGCTTATTCGCGAGGTCTTGGAGCTTTTCTGTGTCTCGCACCATATCGTGAACTTGGAATTACACCCGAGTAGCCCCTCGAGAAGTACGTCGGCAACGAGCGTTCGATCGCGACTGCCGGCGGGACGGGTTTCGGCAAAACGAGCCGACTGCGCGTGATCATCTCCCTACCTCTTGCACGACGGTGACGACGACGACGACGACTATATAGAGCGTCCCGAATATACCGGGTGTCTCGAAACATAGCGCACTAACGCGAGGAGCGAGCGTTTTCTACATCAGTTTTTTTTCTCTTTTTTTCAGACAATCCGAGCACTCGAACAAACGCTCCCACTTCAATTGTGACGTTTACTCGAACTTACACCTTACACGATGCGATCAGTTACGCTTGTACTCGCGTTCCTCTATCTTGACTGTTAATTCGGGTTCTTCGTGACTCGGAACCGTAAACGTCTGGAAACGGGAAATCAGAATCTTATCGCCTTGTTTCCGCCAATCGTACAGTAGATAGTCACTCGGCGGAGGCATGTAAACGCAACTTTACGTTACAAATATACGCGGAGCGCTCGCCACACGCAGCGCATTTGATTTGCATACCGGCAATTCAAATGTATTTAGACACGCGTGTATTATGCACAAGCGCGCCTCGCTCTGTCATTGAATTTTTCCGAAAGAAACGAAGCAATCGGGGAACTTATGCAACACAGGCTTCATCCTAAATAAATTTCGACCTCGGGGATACGATTTTCTTTAATTAATACCGCCTTAAACCCTTTCACGACCGAATTAATCTTTTCGTTCTTGAGTTCTCGTTGATACGAATGTTTGCTCGATAATAGAATGCATGCTGAATAATCGAGTCTTTTTTTTAATTTTGCAGGTGACTTGTATATCGTGAAAGGGTTAACGAGTGCCTCGCTCTTACAGGCCGATCTACACTGTGCTCTATGCGCCTAGAAACATTCTATTTTGTAGCCAATAAATACGTTTAAAAAATTTATGCAAGTTGATAAATTGTACAGTCGTGCATCGTCGACCAATTTTCCAAGCGTTTCGATTTGTTTATATAAAACAGAATGTTTCTAGGCGCAGAAAGCACATTGTACACTGTGCTCTAATATGCGCCTAGAAACATTCTATTTTGTAGCTAATAAATATGTATAAAAAATTTAATCAGTTAATAAATTGTACGTTATAGATTGTACAGTCGTGCATTGTCGACCAACTTTTTAAGCGTTTCGATATGTTTATGTAAAATAGAATGTTTCCAGATGCAGGAAGCACATTGTAGATTAGACTTTATTTTGCCGAAATTCACGCGTTTCTTTTGTGTCATTTCTGCTACGTTCGTCGTTCATTCCAATTGTGCGCGGTAAGTTATTTGTCAGAATACCTAATGCACACCGCTATATTCACGTTTCCCTCGCGTGACCTCGACGAATGCAAGCGCATAACACCTTCACTTTTTTTACCCAGTTCTTGCAGTCATCTACATACAAACTGACAATAAGAGATATAAAGTACGACAATCGACGTGGTAGGATTACTATTCATCGCGTCGATATCCTTGCAAGATACACACTGCGCAATTTTTCCACCGCTATTAAACGGCGCTTGCTTTTAATATTGACCTTGGTTTTCACCGACGTTCAACTTTAATCCAAGCTTAATTCATCCTTTGCCTCTTTCTAACTGTCCCCTTAGAAAGAATCAAAGGATGAATTAGCTAAAATCAAAGTTAAACAACGTCGGTGAAAACCGGAGAAGTTTGTCGTTAAAAATAGTTTTTAATTACCCTAGTAGCCCATTGCATTGGTTTAATATTGGCCCAATACAACCAAATATTGGGCCAATGTTTAACCAATGTTTGGTAAATGCACTGTGCTATTAGGGTATGGTCAAGCTACAAATGCTTCGAGGCGTTTCTCTTCTTCTTCAAACTTCAGTGAAAGAAAGCAGAGGATGAATACTTGGAGGCATTCGTAGCGGCAGCTTGACCGCAGCCTGCGAGTGTGATAGATAATAAATTGTATGAAAGGATTATCAACGCGGAAGGATATTATTCATCGAGTCGATATTCTTACAGACTGTACACGGCGCAACTTTTTCCCCGTTGTTAAACGGCGTTTGTTTTTATACCTTGAGTCTTTTGTTAAAACTGTTAAGCATAAGTTAATCAACAACAACAAATTGTATACAATCATTCGTCTTGAATTTTTTAATTTCGATGAAATGTAATCACTTTAATCGACGGCACGATAAGGCAATTCCTTTCCAGCTTGGCTCCCTCTCGGGAAAGGCGAGTCGTCGAGCGTGCGAACGTGCTTAAACGGTCTCCGTTGAAAGAAGAACTAATGAGCTAGCGATTTCTTAAATTAGATCGTCGCCAAGACGCACCGGCGGCGACGACGACGGCACCGATAAGAAGGAGCCGCGGACAGTCACGAGTGAATCTTACAATTCAACCCGATTCAACACGCGACGTAATCTAATAATAAATCACGCGTCACACGTGTAAATTGCTAATACGCAAGCTGAAAGAAAAGTTGATGTACGGGCGCGCGCGTCTGTCTTTCCACACTCGTTTCCTCCGTTTCAAGCGCAGATCGATAAAACTGTGCCGAGTTGGATTATCTATTCGTGCTCCAGATACAATAACATGTAATTCCCATCGACTACAGTTTCTCCCGTTCATCATCGGCGAACGGGGAGATGCATCCTCGCCTGATTGCCAAGTGAAAATCTACGCAGAGTAAACTGAAATTACGATTCGATCCCCGTGCACGTTCCAGGTTTTTCACGGACTAAGGGCCCGTTTCACAGACGCCGGTCTAACCGCTGACCGAAGGTTAATTGATTCTCTGTCTTTTCTTAGATAACAAGATAGAAAAAGATAGGAAGTTGACTGGACTCTGGTTAACTGTTAATCAGGGTAATGGTTGGAAAAAGACAAAGAATGAATTAAGCTAAGCTTGAAATTTAGCCACGCTGGTGAAACTCGGCCCTGAGGCCCAGTTGAGCTTAGTTTAATTCGTTCTTCGTCTCTTTTCAGCCGTTGCTTTAGAAAGAGACAAGCGTGAATTAAACTAAGATTAAAGTTAACCGACGTTTGTGAAACTGGCTCTGAGGTTTTATCCAGACAAACTTGTCACAGCGCATAAACATATGCACAAGGAATTTGATTGGGCCCGTAAGTGCATGCACAAGGAAATAAACCGATCGATTTCTTTGCGCATATGCTTATGCAAGTCTATGCACCTATGCACCAAGCTTATGTGCCTATGCAAGTCTGGTAGACATCTCGAGCGTTTTTCCTCTCCATCCGCAGGATCAAAATGCTTCCGGAGAGCGAACGTGGCTGTTGAATAAAACCAATGGTATCGGAGGAAGTCGCGCGACCGAGCTGCGAATCGGCGTTTCGCGTTTGCCGCTCGCGAGTAGCTCTCGCGCTTCCGTTAACTCGGGAGTTTGCTGTAAGAAAGACTCAAGTTTTCGTTAAAATTTCATTCATTCGGATTTGGAAAATTTGTCGACCGAACTGTGCTTATAGATTACAGATATTGATCGGTTGAATACAACTGTACAACTTTTAGCTTAGCTCCCAGTGAAAACACTAACGTTGAATCGATGTCAATGGGGTCGAAACCGCGTCCCAACCGTGAGTTTTCGAAAATAATTAAAAGTTTTGGAACGTAATTTTTCGATTTCGTATATTAAATAAGTTAACTTGGCAGTTCTCTCCGATAAAATGTTAAAAGTACTCGGAACGTTGAACGTAGCGATTTAACCAATGATATGTAGTCTTTCAAAAACGACCTACACCGGCCAATGTATTTATTTAAAAAACAAACGACGCTCGGATTTGGACCCTTTTCAAGTAATCTGTTGACACGATTGTTACCGATCTCATATCTTTCCTAGTGATTTAATACAAAAAAATGAACTTCATTATTTTCGAAAACTGACGGGGTTGGGACGCGGTTTCGACCCCATCGCCGGTCGATTCGACGTCAGCGTTCTCGCTAGTAAAAAACAACTCGAGTCGTTCTTTCATCGAATTCTTCAATCATGAATCGGTTTACATTAATCGGCGCGACGCTCTTATCGGAGCTCGCGAGAATCCTCGGATCGTAAATACAAATCCAGATGGACGGACGCATACTTGGGCTATAAATACTCAGTAATTAATTCTCTATTTGTTAGACGCGTCGAGTGCGCGATTAATTAGCGCGTGTCAAGCTCTTTCCAGCTCTGTCCTCCTTCGCCGGCAATTTTTTATCCTCTCTGCTCCTTCCCCTCCGACCGCCGCGGTCGCGAGACGCCGTACGGACACTCGTCACACTCGTGTCGTTTCAAACGTAGACACAAGACGCAGGCGAGGCGAGCGGCCGCCTCGATCAATAGCGTTGTCCACGCGGGAATTTCCGAAGCAGACGGTTACATCATTACGTCGCGCAACCGCGCGGTGACGTTTTACGCTTTATCATCGTCCCCGCGCGTTCGCGGGAGCCACCGAGTCGCGAGTCACCAGGGCGACCGCGGTGTACGTTGAGCGTCGCCGGTTAGGGAGTGGAAGGGCGGACGCACTCACCCGGACTTGCTGGCCTGCGTCGCCTCGATTGCGTGAATCCTCAGCTTGTTCGCGATGTCCCGCAGCTCCTGGATCGTATTCAGCTCGGGCTTGTGATAGTTCGCCATGTTCTCGGCCATGTGGGTACGTGCGTACGTGCGTGCGTGTGTGCCTGCCTGCCTGCCTGCCTGCCTTGCGACTCCGTTGAAACGGCGGCCCCGACCTCGCGGCTTTTTCGACGGTCCCCGCAAAAATGCGACGAGCCTGCGCACGCGACGCGCAACAAGTACGCAGAATTCGCGGGGGCCCCGGGGACGCCCGAGGACGACCGAGCGCGGCCGAGCGCGACCAATTCCCGCCAACGCCGCCAACGGTCGTAGACGATAGTAAAGGCCATTCTACAATTGCGTAAACGTGGTTGTTAGGCTGGATTCACATTGAGCGTAAGTTGCGTAGCGTAACCTGCGTATCGCCAATCACAGGACTAGTTCAACGGAATTATTGAAACGGTTCTATCAGCATGACCCTGTGATTGGTGATACGCAGGTTACGCTACGCAACTTACGCTTCATGTGAAAGCACCCTTAGCGGTTGTAGAGTGTTGTAAAACACAGTTTTAAACTAGCATTTCCGATTGTAAAGCCTGTTGTAAAAGATGGTTGAACTTCATCTTTCACGACTACAACGACGTAGGACGTAAAAATTAACCAATCATTCACTTGAATTATGACGTATCTCACTCTATTGTATATTACTTTAATATACAACACTTACTACTACTTCTACTCCTACAACCCTACAACTACGTTTACGCAATTGTAGTATGGCCTTTAAGCCTCGTCTACATAGAAATCGTAAAGCCGTAGTCGTATGAATAGTCGATTATGATTGGTCAATTCTTATATGCCTAACGAAATTGACCAATCGCAGTCGATTATTCTTACGACTGCGACTCTGCAACTCTCATTGTAGACCCAGCATCAAGCCTCGTCTACATTGAAGTCGTAAAGTCGTAGTCGTAAGAATAGTCGACTGTGATTGGTTAATTCTTATGTGTCTGACGAAATTGACCAATCGCAGTCGATTATTCTTACGACTACGACTCTGCGACTCGCATTGTAGACCACGCATAAGCTTTAAGCCTCCGCTACAATGATTCTCGGTTCTGTCTACAATGGTCGTAGTCGTAAGAATAATCGACTGCGATTGGTCAATTCTTATCGAGCGACTACGACTACGACCATTGTAGACAGAACCGAGAATCATTGTAGCGGAGGCTTTAAAGC